TTTAGGCTCTCCCACAGTTTGCACCATGCGCTGACATTTTATAGAATGTCACATAGTGGAATCAAATATTATAGAGTAGCCAATGGAAAGTTTATATTTGTGTTGCAACTTAAGCAGAAACTTCACATAATTCTCCACCAAACTGACCTTAACTAGTTTTTTGAATATAGGACACCTTTAAAATTGCACACCAGCTTCATTTGACTAAAAAAAAAAGCAGCAAAAGAATACAAAAATGAGGCTAGAGAGAGGCTGTATTCAGATGGCAGTTCCCCGCCCCCCAGTTCCACAACTTCCTCTGTTACATTCTGAATTACCGTATATTTGAGCTTTCATATGATGTAAAAGTCACCTATGGAAGTTTGGTGGAATATAGTGCAAGTTTAGTGTTCAATTCCATGTTATTTGTTTCCAGAAAAATCCATTTGCAAATAATATGACAGCCCTACCCACTATTAAACATGGTGTGTGTGTGTGTGTGTGTGTGTGTGTGTGTGTGTGGCATGGAGGGGCGGTTAACAATCTGGTTGAATATCTAGATCCAGTTCCCCATTCCTGATATAGGACATTATAACTCCTACAGGTAAGATGCAACACAAGCCTTAGTGTTAAATAAGCTATTTATATAATTTGTCATATAGTATATATATGCAAACAGCAAACTATGACAAGTTCTTAAAGAAATGGGAGTGCCTGATCACCTCAACTGTCTCCTGAGAAATCTCTATGTGGGACAAGAAGCTACAGTTAGAACTGGATATGGAACAACTGATTGGTTCAAAATTGGGAAAGGAGTACGACAAGGCTTTATATTGTCTCCCTGCTTATTTAACTTATATGCAGAACTCAGCATGCGAAAGGCTGGGCTGGGTGAATCCCTAGCCAGGCAATTAAAATTGCCAGAAGAAATATCAATTAAGATTGCCAGAAGAAATATCAACAACCTCAGATATGCAGATGACACAACCTTGATGGCAGAAAGTGAGGAGGAATTAAAGAACCTTTTATTGAGGGTGAAAGAGGAGAGCGCAAAATATGGTCTGAAGCTCAACATCAAAAAAACGAAGATCATGGCCACTGGTCCCATCACCTCCTGGCAAATAGAAGGGCAAGAAATGGAGGCAGTGAGAGATTTTACTTTCTTGGGCTCCATGATCACTGCAGATGGTGACAGCAGTCACGAAATCAAAACGCCTGCTTCTTGGGAGAAAAGCAATGACAAACCTAGACAGCATCTTAAAAAGCAGAGACATCACCTTGCCGACAAAGGTTCGCATAGTTAAAGCTATGGTTTTCCCAGTAGTGATGTATGGAAGTGGGAGCTGGACCATAAAGAAGGCTGGTTGCCAAAGAATTGATGCTTTTGAATTATGGTGCTGGAGGAGACTCTTGAGAGTCCCATGGACTGCAAGAAGATCAAACCTCTCCATTCTTAAGGAAATCAGTCCCAAGTGCTCACTGGAAGGACAGATCCTGAAGCTGAGGCTCCAATATTTGGCCACCTCATGAGAAGAGAAGACTCCCTGGAAAAGACCCTGATGTTGGGAAAGACTGAGGGCACAAGGAGAAGGGGACGACAAAAGACGAGATGGTTGGACAGTGTTCTCGAAGCTACCAGCATGAGTTTGACCAAGCTGCGGGAGCCTGGCATGTTCTGGTCCATCGGTTCACGAAGAGTCGGACACGACTAAACAACAACAAATATGTTGATGAAGGGGGGGAATACAGATTTAAGGAATCTGGTTTCCTGGGATCAGTAATGGTTTCGTTATGGTCTAACAAACAGACTCAATGCAGACAAAATGAGGCTGGTATTGGCCAATAGGAAAGCTGTTGGTAATGCTACTCCATCCAAAATCAGGTTGCATTTGTGAGGGTGCTCTTCTTGGATTTAGGGTTGTTCTGACATGGGTAGGCAATGGCTGTGGCCAGGATCACCTTTGCATGCTTCAGCTGATGTACCAGTTATTCCCCTTTCTGGAAATGGCAGAGCTGGTAAAATAAATATGGACAAATGGGTTTCTTGTGCATCATTCCATTCAGTAGCTTGGAATAGTGAGGAGGGAAAACCAGCTATTAAAGGCAGAAAAAATCAGGGGAAAATCTGAATTCATGCAACCAAAATACATAAGAACTGTTGCCCAAAATATGAAGGATAATAAAGAAAACGATTCTTTAAATAAACATGATTTTTTTAAAAATCCATTGAAGAAAAATGGCTTAAGGGAAGTGAGAATTTAAACAGGAGCTAGTACTATTCATAATAAACTGTTATGATATCAAATATTGATCGAAAAGGCAGGGGACTAAAATAAGCCTTAAACTATTTACAGTTTGAGAAGCAAGTTGACAGGCACGCATTGTCTTGCACCTATCTCTGATATGCATACCTTTCCCACTTAGCAACAGATGATTATGTTGTCATGCCAATACAATCTATCATCTTAACCTGCTCTCATCTGCACCTCTCCGCTTATCTTGGATAATCGCAAATAGTCAGTGCAAACCTGTGATTTATTTCATGGGGGAAAGCAGTCCATCATTGGGTTCCCATATGCGAAGGTAGAGGGAAACAGAATGAAAAGTGTTGGAGTTCTGGGGAGTTGTTAGGACAAGGGAGAAGACAGTTGCACGTTGGTTGGATATGAGCTCTGTGACTTAACAGTAGCAAATCTAGAGGTTTCTAATGCAAATTGCATTCCATATCATGCATACAATGACATGTGTAACGTACATGCTTCTAGTGAGATGTTCTGGAAGCATGCTAAGATTCAACACATTACTAAAAAAGCGCTCATACGCCAAAGAAGATGTGTGGTATGTTAAGTACTGAGCTGCAAATGGTGACCACCAGTGAGGTATGTTTATATGTGGGAGGAATTTCAGAAAATGGTAAAAGCAACTAAGAGACTAACGAATTTATTATGCAAAAGATTTTGTTGGTCTACAGCCCGCTTCACTGGATGCATAAAAGGGCAATCTTCATTTGCAGGTATATAGACACTAGGGGCAGCTGGGGTGATGGCCTGTGGAATTCAAACTGTGACGTCAAAGGGAAATGAAATGCAAAACTTACAGACAATGGCAATGCAACTGCAGCCAAAATGCATGCAAAATATATACAGTACAGTAACCCTTTAAAACAGCATATATAGGTGATAAAGCAATCAATTTGGCTGAGTTAACACTGTGCCTATTTTGCAGGTGGCAAGGTTGCCTTACCTGTGAGGGGAAACGTGCATCAAGGTACAGTCATAATTCGTTACTACTTTGATAGCCTCAGGCTGTGAAGATGTTTATAAATTTGTAAAATAAATTAATAAGAGTCCCTTGCATTTCAGAGGGATTGTAACTCTACATGCTTTTAGTATGCAAGCCCAGAATTAGGATATTTTAAAGTCCAGGCCTAGAAGTGTTTACGCAGAAGTTACTCTCGTTAAAATCAAGAGAGTTTATTCCCAGGAAATGTGCTGAGCATTAGAAGCAAAAGGAGGGAGGCTATGTGCAACTTTGAACAGTCTGTGTGAAGAGCATCACTCACAAAACCATTGCATAATTGCTAAAATGAAGAGGGGCCGGATTCAGATCTGTCTGAAAAATCAGGCTCTCTTAATTTTGGAGCTTGCTCTCTCCCAATGTTGTCCATTGAACCTTCGATACAGCCCTATGGTGTACTGGTGAAGAGTGTTGAACAAAGACAGAGTCCTAGTCCCCAATCATCCAGGAAGCTCACTGGGTGACCTTGGGCCAATTGCTGCCTCTCAGTTTAAGCTAAGTCACAGGATTGAGGTACATGGGGAGAGGGAGAACAGCAGCATTCTTACCATTTCTCATGAAAGAAAAGGAAAAAAAGTTATGGGGTTAAACTCTGATGGTCCCTGCAGGATTGCCACAGTGATCTTAGTAAACCTAGATTAATTGCATGTTCTCCTGTTACGTATGTTATTTATTATTAGATTTAAATAATGCCTTTTCTCCAAGGAGCTAAAGCAGACACACATGGGTTCCCAGCCTGGCTTTTAGCCTTGGAACAACCCTGTGAGGCAGGTTGAACTGTGAGGTAGTGACTCACCCAAGGTCATTCTGTGCGCTTCATGGCTGAGCAAGGACTTGGAGCTGATCTCCCAGTTCACAGTCCAACAGCCAGGAATTGCCAGCCTTTTGCAAACTGAGGAAACTGCTGTGGGCACCACACACACACCACAACCAAGCACATACCACAACACTTTCTTCTTTCAAACTTAATTTCAGCAGGGGAGAAAGGGACTTTGTTGGCTAATGGATGGGCATCTGATTGGGTAGCCCTGCTCTAACCACTAAGAGAGACTGCCTCTTTCCGTGTGGGTTGATAAATGCACACACACACACACACACACTATATTTATTGAAAAGTTTGCACACAGGGGAAAACAAAACATTTCCAGCTGCACATTGTGAGAAATACTGACAGCAACTCAGCTGCAAAATGTAAACAAAGCGGCCCCAACCGGAAAACAACAGAGAAGCGAAACCCGATGTGCTGGGTAGAGGCCTCTTCTTGACGACTGAAAGAAAGGTGAGGGCAAGACACGTGTCCACGTCCTTCAAAGCCCTTTCTCTTTCTGAGTACTTTACGCGTCTCAGGGCTGGCATGGGGTGGGGGGAGGCATCCTGGGGCTGAGCTCTGTTCATCAGAGATGGGGTAACCACCAGCCTCGGAACAATTCAAGGGGGCGGGGACTGGGTACCGTTAGGTAACCTGGAGAAAACTAGGTACCTCCACCCCACAGCTCCCCTCTGCCCCTGTCCAAAGCAAGTGAAATCAAGCTGGTGTCTGTCTTTGGGTGATTGGACCCCTTGTGTTTGAAGGGCGGCCCGGGCGAGAGAGCCTTTCCCCCTTGGGGATGTGAATGTTGCACCCCAGAAGAGCAGATCGCTCTAACGTGTGCATGCACAGAGGGTGTGTGTATGAGAGAGAGAGCGAAAAAAGAGAGCGTGTCGGTTTCCCCACGCTGTGCTGAAACGCCTGCCGCTCGCTTTGCACGGCGCATCCACCCGCAGATACACACACACACACACACACACACACACACACACAACGCTCAGGAGCGGCGGCGGCCACCAGCCGCCCCATCACATGCGAGCGAAGGGGAGATTACGGTGGGGCTGGAGGAGCAATTCCTTGGCTCCCTCCTCCTGCAATCCTCCAGCGCTCGCAGCACGGACGGACAGCGAGTGAACGAGCGAGGATGGCTTCCCCCTTGCTTTGCCTTCTCCAGCCTCTTCCTCCACCAGCACCAGCTCCTTTCCCTCCTCCTCCTCCTTCTCCATCCCAGAGGAGATGGTGATTCGGAGTAAGGAATACAGAGCAAGGGGGGGAAATCATCAGCGAGGGGCAAGAGAGAGAGGGGGGGGAGAAACACACACACACACCCCTCCCGAACCAAAACAAACCCATCTCTCCCTCTCCCTCTCTCGCCTCTGCCACCGCGGATTGTCAACAGATCATTTGCAAAGGAAACCTGAGAGCAACCCCCTCTGGAAAGGCAGCAGGGGATTCCGGAGCCTTTGTGCTTTCCCTCGCCAGTGTTTATGCTGAGCGTGGTCTGTCTCAGGAAGGTAAGCGGGAAAGGCGAGGAGGGGGGTTCTTTTCTGCCTCATTGTGGAGTCTGGAAAGAAAAGAAAGCGAAGAAAAGACTCGCTCGTGAATCATCCTCGCTCCCGGTAGTGGCAGAGGAGCTTGGAGACTGACATATGGCTCCAAGTGGACTCAGAGGGCAGGGGAGATGCTTTAAAAAAATATTTGTAAGGAAGGGGGTGGGGTAGGGGGGCTCTCTCTTGGTTAATGAGAAGGAAAAGTGGTGGTTGTGGGGGGTTTGGGAGGCGGGGAAGAGGGAGGCTGTTTCCATGTACAGAAACGGGGTTTGTTTTTTTATGAATAACCCACATGCCTCCTGAATGACTGCTTGTGGATGGATGGATTGAAGCGATTTTGTAACGTAATGTGCACACTTGGACAAACTGGAGTGCATGTTCATTATGCTTCTTGAGCTGTCAAAACGAGAGCAGCCCCTCGTAGAGGATCATACTGAAACACACATTGCACTCCCGCCCCCCCGCCCCCCCCATGGCTTGACTGGAGTAACCTGATGATAGCCTGAAAAGCTTGAATTTTAAAAAGACAGTTTGGCTGCTTCCTCCCTCCCCCTTTAAACTAAGGTGCTTTTGATAAAGTCATAAAGGTGTTAGGTATATTCAAACACCGTTATACAGTTGTGTAGTGGAGGTTTTGTGAGTTGGGGCTTTTTTTTTTTTTTAGCGAAGATGTACACGCTCACCTGTGCAGTGGGGCATCTTTTATACAAACAATATCAAAGCTGTCAAGCAGCTTGATATATTTAAACACTGGGTACAAGTAAGTCTGTGCATACAGCTTATGTACGTACTGTCCATATTTATAGTACCTCCTGGACTTCATTCAAATTAAGTTACATAATGATTAAGATAAAAATAAACAATGCATTTACAGTTTCTTGAATATTTTAACTTGCCACCCAAACTCCAGCTGCCACATCAGTGCTGAAATGAATGAATTTTGGCGGTTGCTTGTTTCCCCACCACCTCTGAAGGCAGCCTTTAACATTGCCAAGAGGCAGTCAGGTCACTTTGCAAACAAACAGCCATCAAGCCCTTACCACTAAGAGAAACAGATTTCAGTCAATAATCCTATCCTGTAATGCTGAAAAGCCGCCAGGGTCGGTTTAAAAGGAGGAGAATAGCAGCAGAGCTGGGCAGGCGCCTTAAGGGTGAGACCTGCTGGATACTCAAGAGAGCTTTGCTGCTAAAACAGGCAGACTTTGCTCAAGTTTGTCAGGCTCCTCTGACTTCCAGCTCAGCATCACGCAAAGCAAGGAGAAAGGTCTGCCCTGAACTCCTGCTCAAAACATGGCCCAATCTCTTGACCCTAGTTTGTTGATTGCTGACTTCAGAGACAGCAAAATCAAACCACACAATTAGCTAATGATGATTGTAAGGTTGGTGTGATTCTAGCTCCATGACTTTTTTAAAACTGACGAATACGGAAAAGATTTTTATCGGAACAGTGAGGTTGCAACCTGAGCATAGCTGGCGGGGCACGGAGGGGCAGCTGCCCCCCAATCAATAAAAATAAATATAAATACATAGCAAACCAAGGTTCTGCACCCCTAACAAAAGGCCTGCCCCCCAACAAAAATCCTGGCTACAACCCATGGCATGCAGCCCAAACGTTATTATACCAAACGAATCCAATTTCTCCTTAAGCTGTTCCCTGCCTTCCTCATGCTGTCGCTTGTTTTCAGCAGCCTTATTCAATGCGCTAAGGGCACCAGTCTTCCTCTATTTGATGGGGGTTGTTCTCGCATACAGTACAACCTGAACTTTCTTCTGCCTTATTCTCCAACAAGAAAGTTAAGTGTCTCACCATCAACATGGGGGGTGGGGTGATAATGCTGTACAAGAGGGTTGCACCTCTAAGCATCTCTCCATTAGCTTAAGCATTTTAAACATCTTTTAGCTTGATGGTGCGTTAATGATGCCTGTGCATGCATTTATTTATGTTTGCACTGTTTTTAAAAGTTTAATTAACATCTTGCACTTGGAATTCAAAAGCAAGGAGGGAGAAACAGATTTAAAGGGACCTCTCCTTTGTTTCCAACTATGATTAAATAGCTTGTGCTTCCTGGTGTGTTACTTAATTTTCATACTGAGTTTCTTAGAGTGCGTCCATCCCTGGTGTAATAATATTTTTACAAACTTTTTTAGCCAGGAACTATTTAACATTCTACTTTATGTTTTCTTCATTAGGAAAGAATACTTTAAAAACGTCTATAGAGCTCATCATTATATGAACCCATTGCATCAGACAGAGGTTATAGTTCTCTTTTAGATGTTAAGCTACAGATACCTTGAGAGATTTCTTAATAATGTATTCCTTATACCTAATAACATAGGAGATGCTTTGGATTAGGGACTCTGCTATTTTAACTTTTTAAAACAACACTATGCTCAGCAGACATGGCAGTGGCTCTCTCTAATGCATGTGCATGCATTTAAGCATTGCGGTTTATGTATTTGTTATTACTTCCAAATATGATGCTTTTATTTGTGGTGTTTTGGCTTGGAATCTACATCACATGGCATCAACCCACATCTTTCAGGTCATGACACTTTGCCCTTGTCTTTAAAAGTCACAGAATTGAAAATAACCAGTTGATTCAGAAAGCCACATAGAGGTATTACTAGCTTGACTGAGTAGAACATCTGCAGCTTCAATGCTTAGAAATTTGAGTAGGAAAGATCCACCATAATACTTCAAAATTTGACTGTTATTAATCTCTTGTTCTCCCATGTGGGTTTGGCATTATAGCAGAATAAATATTAATTCTTCATGGCCAATGACATTTATCCTTCTAGTATGTGCTTGGCATAGTGAGATAACACCATTAAAACTTGTTGCATTTGTAGTGCAAATTATAGAAAACATCTTAGCTTGTTGCAGTACTCTGAATGGAAACAGTGTTCACTTTTGTTCTTGTTGCTGGTATCTACATCTACTTTATTGTATGTGCTGTCTATACAGGGCCTAAGAATACTGTAAAATAGTTTCTCATGGAAAAAATAATATTGGATCGGTGTTAAGGGTTCTTAAAAATAATATAGAAAAATATACAACACTATATGTATGTGAATAGATATATAAAGACCTAAAACCTAGAATGATCAGTAAGTGTTGTAGAGCTTTTGTTTTCTTACGTATGGTGCTGTAAAAAACAAACACCTATGTATGTGTGCACATAATGATACACAATATATAAGAAAAGTGAATTTATTTAGCCACATGAATCCTTTTGTAGTCGTAACAAAGAGGGCATAAGCATGCTTGCTGGAATCCCAAGATTTTCAGAAGTGTAAACATCTTTGGAAGTAGACACCTAAGAAAGGGACTGAAAATAGCCCACTGAGGGTTAAGCATGCTCCCTGGGTATTAAATGCTGACTAACTATAGGGGGAAAATAGATAACTAGGCTGTGTGTGTAATGGTGTATCCTGGAAAAAGACATAGATGGTTGGCCAGAAACGTAAATCCAAGCATTCCGCACATTATTTTGCAGATTCCACTTATAGATACTCATAATAAACAAATCAACTCATCTGCCCTTAATATATATTGGGCCAATTTAACATTGATTTACTATTACTAAAAATAATGATTGCACAATAATATTTTTTTCTGATATTTGGAAGACTGCAGTTGAAATGAAAAGTCCCTTGTGGGTATAGATATGATATAGTTTGCCGATGATAACTGGGCCGTTTTAAGCTTCTGGAACTTAATCACATTCCACATTTAAGAGCCAAGGGACTTAAAGGTCACTCTTAGACTTAAACCTTCTTTCTCTGCTCTTGCTATTAAACCTGACAGGTACTTTCAAACTGCTGTAGCTGTGCTTGCCCATACACAGTTATGGAACTGAGTAGTTAACTGGATGGCTGCAGAAAAGACAATGGATTCTGTGGGGTTCACAGTCTTCTAAACTGATGGTACAACGGGACAGTCTGCTTACACAGAGACCCCTCCTTTTTTTTAGCACACATACTTTTTGTCAGGCTTGCTCAGTCCCCATATGCCAAATCACTTCAAGCTTCCATTGGAAGAAAATAACATGTTTTATCACTTGTACACTTGCGTTTGTGTAGTGGGTTCAGGAAAATGTGCTCTGCTGCATCATGAAGAGTGAAGCTTAGAGCAGGGATGGAGAACCTATGGCTGTCCTAGGTGTTCTTGGACTACAACTTTGCTAGCTAGGGCTGATAGGATTGGGGTCCAACAGCATCTAGGGGCCAAGTCCCCCAGCCTTGTCCTTGGGTCTTTATAATAACTTTATTGGAAAAGGATTTGAAGTGCAGCTGGTGTAAGTATAAAGTGAAGCAACACTTTTCAGTGCAAAGAAGAAAATGCATAAATAGTGGAATTGCAACTGGAAAAATAGTCATGAGGAAGAGGAAAATGACCCAGGCAATAGCTTCAATGTGATGTATCCATTGTGGACCACACACCTTCTGACCGTGCTGGTAGACTGACAACCCAACCCTGTGTATACTTATTTAGAAGTAAGTGCCAGTATGTTTAGTGGAGCTTAGTTATAAGTAAGAGTGCAAAGATTCTTTGCATATAGAATATTAATACTCTGAGGAGAAAGCTTGCACAGAAGACTTGTCACTGATGTATTGGTTTTGAATGAGCAGGTTGCTTTAAAAACTACGGAACATTTAATTTTACCCCCTACTCCATTCCTTGCAGTCTGTTCATCAGTTGTGGCTGTGCTCTGTCTCTAAAGTTTTGACATAAATTATATACATTTTTGACAAAGCAATTTTTAAATGCCATATTGGCCATATACAAGGGGCTCCTGCTCCGGCTAGCTCCACTCACCAACCAGCACAAAGTAATTGGGGAACTCCTTTCCTCTGATTAGCACCAATACCAGTCAGTCACCAAAGAGTTTTCCCTACCCTTCCCTTCACTCTGCCATTTTCCTTATAGGGGAAGCTTGGAGGGAAATGTTTCAGTTTTTGTAACATTATCACCAGTGTTGTTTTTTTTGAATTTCCAACTCCCCAAGGTACTTCAGAGGTCGCTGCTTTGGTTCAAGGTATTTCAGAAAGATCCTGATTCATTTTGGACAAGCCCAAAATCTGTTCAAAGTTGGCTGCTTCAGTTCTGGATTCATCCAAAGTCAGTGCACACCCCTAATATATAACATAAGGCACCATCTACAGTATGTACATGGTGCTCTTAGAATGAGCAGGAATGAGAGGCCTGTGCCCCAAGGAGCTTACAATACAGTAACTTTGCCCTTAGTAATATTTAACACATTTGGCTCCAAAAAGTCACATCTTCTATAATGTTTTATGTCAGCTGAGGGAGAATTAAGTAATGCTGAAGAGGGGTGTACTAGAAGCGATTTTTGGGAAGGTAGCCCACAGTTGTCAGATGAAAAGGCAAGTATTAGTAATGAGCTGTGACAAGGAACCAGTTAGCCAAGCAGCAAAAGATCATTCTACAGCTTTACAAAGCATGACTCATTGTTATGACAGCATCTGAAACTAGATTACAGTACATCAAATAAACTAAAAGTAGAAAGATGCCATAGGAGCCTTTACCGACAGAATGAGAAAATAATTTAAAATCTATAAACTCAAGGAAACGTATTTTCAAATTACACACAAGGGCAATCATAAATGAGAGAGTGATTGGAGCAAGGATGAACATTCTTGCTGTTTTTGAGTCCTGTGACATTTATTTTCTCAAGTGATGTTGTCAAGGGTCAGGAATGAATGAGTGAAGATCAATATTATAGAATTATGTTCTCTGTATACTTAGGTGCTTTGGTTTGACAGATTTTCTGTTTGCCATAAAAGGTTGTCACAAATGAGTTTCATAGTGTAATGCAGAATACTAAAGGTGTGTACTGGCCTCAAGATTCAACTTGTATCTTTAATTTTGGAAAACAGACTGAACAGAGGTGCTCTGTGTCTTACTAATTTGACCCATTACTGGGGGCTCAATTATATCTGTTAAAAACCACGTCCCCATCCCTGTTCACTATAAACACACACACACACACACACACACACACACTCGTGTGTGCTTTTCACACAAGTGGCTAAAATTGGCAGGGAGAGCAAATCTCTAGAATCTCTATAACCCCTGCCAAATTGTGGTCAAATACATTCATTGCCTTTGATGCGGGACAACACATTTTCTGCCAGAATTGGATGCAATTAGGAGGCTTGGTCACCTTTTCTTGGGGGATGAAAGCTACAAAATTTCAGAATGTTAAATGAATTGATCTCCTACAAGGGCAGACTTTACTGCTTTGGGTGGGTGCAAAAGGGATCATAGAGGTGGGCGTGCCAAAAAGAGCATAGGTCCATGGTTCTCCAGGAAATATTGGGGAATGGGAACTATCACCAGCACCAAAGGTTTTGGGGGAAACAGTCTCTTCTTCAGGGGACTTACAATGACTTGCATTGGGGCTGAGGAGGTGGGGTGAAACCATAATAGATCCCAAAGAAAGGCTGTCGTCAAAAAATGGCACCACCACCCCATAAGCACCCTGTTACCCCAAGGTTTGTTCATGGGAGGTGGACTTCTGCCAGCCAACATGGAATTTTGGAGATACTCTTCTCCCTAGAAGAAGGAAACCTCTGAGTTTACTTGCTCAGAGGAAGGCATAGATCCACATAAAAAAACAAACTCAATTTTAATCCCGAACCCAAATTCCACACCCAAATCACTATGACAGGAGTGCCCTGGGGAAATAATTCAATGTGATTAAAACTAGATCTGTCCATCAAAATAGTACACACACCACACACACCTCTCCCACATTCTCTTGAGCGCTATCCAGTGTGGTTTCATTTCTGTGTGGTAGAGTGGGGTGGGAGGGTTGGGAACAGTCATCTGGTTTTTTGGACAGCCGAGGCCACAGAGTAACTCATGTTCTGACTCAATATGTCCTATTAACGGCACGGTCCAACATGGGAACCTTCCCTGAATCACGCTGTTTTACCTTGCAATTCAGGGTAGATGCAGAGCTGATGGATAAATTCTTTAAAAAATGAAAAGCCAGAACCTTTGTGACTTATGACTTTGCAATTATTGCAGGTGATGATAAAGCTGCTAATGGTATTTGTATTTGATGGCTCACTGCAAAGAAGATAAGTGAGTTTTGCAATATCGCTTTTTCCATCTGTTCTCACAAGTGCAAATAAATTATCTATTCTTCTGAAAAGAAATATAAGATAAATGTGATTTAAAGCAATTTCCTTGTCATTATTGATTAAGGGCAATCCGTGCTAGTCTTCAGAGGAATGGAATTTATTTCTTCACATAATGAAACAGAAAAGGCTTGTCATAGTAAAAGAAACATAATTATTACCTAATTTGTGTGTTTGAAAACAACTTGGCACTCTTGTGTGGACAAGTAAAATAATTTTACCCAATGTTCTTTCAATTAACTGATATTAGCCAAACATTTGTAATAGGTGTGTATTTCAAAGACAAAAAACAAGGAATATCTGTGAGTTTATTCCTCAAATTTTATGCCTTCTGAAAAAGAAGAACTTCCAAATTAGCCATTTATACCACAAGAAGTGCACATTTTATGGGGACACATGTGTGAGAGTGCACGAACGCAAGACAAGAATGGGTCTTTTTTGCAGTGGAATGCTGCCCCCAGGGAGGTGTGCCTGGTGCCATCACTAAATATCTTTAGATCCTGGGCAAAAACAGTGCAAGGGGCTTTGTCAGTGCTATGCTCAGCAAAGCACCAAGCATAGAGTTTGCAGAGATGTTTTCTGCAGGGATTGACTGCATGATCAGGTTCCCTGTGGGGACCTTTGTGCAGCCAGTCCAGCAGGATTGAATCTGACGGTGGTGAGTTCAGCCCTGCTTTCTGCAGGGAATGGTAGTGCTATCAAGTTCCCCATGGGGAACTCAGTTGTGCAGCCAATGCATGTGCGCATACACCCCCCCCAAAAAAAAGGTTCCACAGAACCTTTGCAAACAAACAATTCACCAAAGGACTGTGGGGGAAGCTTTTGACTTTAGAAATACTGGTTGCAGTGGGTAGGGGGAAGTTGCAGAATTTTACCAGTGCTGTTGATTATTTCCCCAACTAAATATGGTACAGTAGAGCTTAAATATCAATCCAGTAATGCAAACCTTGTAGTGGAAGGAACACACCCACAGAACCTCATTCCTCATTAGTATTGGATTAATGAACCATGAAATTGAGAACTTCCAACTTGCCATTCATGATGTGTTCTCAACTGGGGCTACTATAACATTCTACAGCGACCGTAAAATTTATGTAGCATCCATAAGCACATAAGCATGCTACCAAAGGTGGAACCTCCTGTGAAACCTTCTGCCTTCATTGCAGCATTGTAAATTGCTACAATATTTTACAGTATCCTAAGCCATGGCTTTATTTTTCTTTCAGCTTCAGAAATGGAGGACCCTATTTGAAGAGGACCCAACCTGACCAAACCTTACTTGTGCTTCTCCCCTAAAGACTCTGGCGTTGCTGCTGCTTCCTTGTCAGGATGGCCGAAAGGGCTCCTCCAGGGATAAACAAAAAATCTTCAAGGTCTACCCAGTCCCTTCCACCAGAACCAGTGGAAATAATCCGGAGCAAAGCGTGTTCAAGGAGAGTCAAAATCAATGTAGGGGGGCTCAACCATGAAGTTCTATGGAGGACTTTAGATAGACTTCCACGAACACGCTTAGGGAAGCTTAGAGACTGCAATACAAACGAATGCTTACTAGAAGTATGTGATGACTATAATCTCAGTGAGAATGAATATTTCTTTGATAGACACCCGGGTGCTTTCACCTCCATTTTGAATTTCTACAGGACGGGGAAGCTACACATGATGGAGGAAATGTGTGCCCTCTCTTTTGGCCAAGAGCTAGACTACTGGGGGATTGATGAGATATACTTAGAATCTTGTTGCCAGGCAAGATACCATCAGAAGAAAGAGCAAATGAATGAAGAGCTAAGGAGAGAGGCAGAGACACTGAGAGAAAGAGAAGGGGAAGAGTTTGACAATGCCTGCTGCCCAGAGAAAAGGAAAAAACTATGGGACTTGCTGGAGAAACCCAACTCATCAGTTGCTGCAAAGGTAAGATAATGGATGGTGGTTAAAGAGTCACCAAAAATGTTTAGAATATTTGCTTAGGTTACATGTTATGTCTTGATAATATTCACAGTAAAATTTATGGTAACAATTTTAGGTGGGTTTTGTTTTTTTTAAAAGTAACAACCCTACAGCCTAATATAGGCTTAGCTTGTGAGTTTTCCTGTTTTTTCATCTGTGGGAGATATCCAAAGGACTGTGTGGTGAGTCCCATGTGCTCTGGTGTTCTTTTGAGACTCTCTGTTCCAACTGATTTTCTCCATAATTTATGCCATGCTACCTCCTAAAGTTGGAGGACCTCAGGAAGTTTTCTTCCATGCAGTATAAGCAATTGTGATCTATTAAAGAAAAATAGGGGGATCTTGCCTTGTATGGATTTATGGGGAACAGGATCCTGGTAGTATTCATTGGTCAAACTAGTGCTCAGTGCTTGTGTGTGTATGTGTGTGTGTTTTAGAAATACTGCAATCTTATGCACACTTACCTGCGAGTAAATCCCACTTAACATATTAGGGCTTACTTCCACATAAATGTACATAACTTTGCTTTGTTCTTTCTCATTTTTTTCATTGGGTGCTGGGTGGAATGTAGGGTGCAGTTTATATAATTATGCATCAGCAAGCTATTTCGGAGATATTAACAAAACAATCCTATGCAGAAGTAAGTTCTACTGATGTCTGTGGGGCTTACTCCCAAATAAGTAGGTATAGGATTGCAGACTAATTGGCAAAGTGCCTTTGAAGAAATGGCAATTTTTGAAAATGAAGACTAACCATTTATTGTCAGAATGTAACTTTTGATTCCCACTACTCTTGACTACACATTCCATAGAAGAATCGGGAATTTCTTTCTTTTCTTTTTTTCGTATTTGTCTCTCAGCTGCTAAGTTTGTCTCAGCTGCTAATTTTAAATTTCATACGCCTACGCATGAACTAGCACCTATTTCCACCTAGGCTGCTTTTTGGAATGTCTTCTGGCTTTAGTTAGTGGGTGCGCTGCTTATATAATCTATGTGTGAAAGACATAAATAAATATATAATCTATGTGTGAAAGACATAAATATATTATGGTTGATTTGTGTGTAGAAATAAAGAAAAACTGGATATTTTCATTATATGGGGAAGGTTTGAACATTAAATCTGAGTGTTAGGATGGAGTACAATTTTTATCACTGTCTCCCATGGCTGCCAAAAATCCCAGGAGAGCAAGGGAGGGAGTGTAGTGGCAATGGTGAAATGAGCAAGAACTGCCTGTCCCACCTCACTCCTCCCAGCAGGAGCTTCCACTGGATCAAATGCCCTTTGATGAACAGAAGGGTAACTCAGGATCCAAGCCAATTCCTGAATCCACTCAAAGATTATTCATGTATTTGATGAAATTTTACTACAAAAAATGTTAGGGAATATGCCTAACAAAAGCTGCACAGTGCTGAAATTGCCATACATTCTGATAGCAGTTCAAAATATTAAAGTAGACCTACAGGCTTTAATGGAGTTGCCCTGCACTATATGAGTTCAGGCTTTTGTGTTTCTCTCAAATGGATTAGCCGCCGTTCTGGCCCAAAAATATTTCCAAATCCTATTTCATGACTTAATTTAATTTATACATACGTAAGAAAGCACTCCTCACATTAGAATATATTATGGCTCTTCTTTAAAGCTCTTATGAATTGGACCCTCAAGCTCACATTCTGCCCCTCTGGTCCAGTAGTACAGTATCTCCATGGATCTGATTCCTAGTCTATTATCTGGAAGCAACAGGTGCCCGAGTTGTTTTTGTAGTGCGTGATCTGCCTGTGTTTGCTCTGTCTGTTCAAACAGAATTGCAACTGCCGCCTGCGCTGAGGCAGAATCCCAGCAGCAGTGTGTCACTAACTAGCTGTGTGTTCAAGATCCCAGAGACCCGTCTGGAGGAGATGGGGCATGTCATTGAGCTGCCACATTGCATCCTTAGAGAGCATAGGATAGATCAGAAGCTTTCTGTGGCTCACTGATCCTCAACCTACTGGTGTCAGGTTTGCAGAATACAGCTGGTCTGCCTTCTGTCTCGGGAATTACTTTGGATTAAATAATCATTGTAGGGAAAAGTACATGCTTTTATTTTTATACAACTTCATTGATGAAATCCAGTAGTGTCCATCTGCCAGTGGAATGGACCCTGTTGGTGGAATAGATTGTCTCTTCCCTTGGAGGACCTTATGGAGCAAATTTGCTGGATTCAGGGAGGTGGAAGGGGGAGAGAAGGAGAAGTCCCATTCTGCTCATGTGTCACTGGACGTCACCCAGTATCACCATGCTTACTCTCATTTTGGGAAATTGTATGCAACAAAATTTTACTCAGAGTAAACCCATTGGAATTAATTGACCTGGGTTAGTTCATTAACTTCAATAGGTCTCCTCTGAGTAGGACTAGCATTGGGTTCAATCCATGAACTACAATCTACAGAGCAAAGTGGTTTTGACATTTGCAATATGTCTGCACCACAAATCATACAATTGTAGAATTGACAGGGACCCCATGCTCATGTAGTGTAGCCCCCTGCTATGTACAAATCACAGCTAAATAATTCCTGACAGATGGCCATCCAACCTCTGTTTACAAATCTTTGATGAGGGAGAGTCCACCACCTTCTGAGGGAGTCCATTCCATTGTCATAACAGCTCTTAAAGTGGGAATTGTAGTGAAGGATGCTAAGAGTATGCTGTTGAAATTTGATTCATCCACACAGAACCACAGTTCTCAGGATTCCCTGTGAAGATGGAATGTCACTGAAACCTGTTTAAGTCTAGAATGTAAACACAATCTTACAACTGTTTGAAAAAGTAGAAAGACGTTGGCTGGGAAGGTGTATTGGACTCCTCCTTACTGTCTAACTGGCTTACAGTGAAGGAAAATTGCACTGTGTTGTGCATACAATTTATGAGAGCTTGCACATATTCCCACACATGCTGCTCAGTGTACTCCGAAAGAGATATTAGGACTGATCTCTGGGACATCACCAAAATTTTTGATCTGCTCCAATAATTCACCGCTCGAAAAGATGGAGAAGTAGTGTGGAGGCTTGCAGATCTAAAACAAACCTTTGCTACTGGAATGTTTATTTGATATTTATACACAAATTTATAAATACCCCACTTCAAGCAGCTTACAAAATAAAAATGAATCATAAACATAACAGTAATCCATCGTTAAAACACAGCTACCAGGCTAAAAGCAGCAAAAAAGGGCAAGATCACAAATAACCAAATTGAACGCTCAATAAACTAAATGAAACAACAACAAAAAATGGAAGCATGTTAAAGAGAAATATACTTCAGTAGCGGAGTATTGCCTTTGCTTGCAGAAGGTCTCAGGTTCAGCCTCTGGCATCTCCAGGTAGGGTTTTGAGAGAGTTCTGGAAAACTGCTGTCAGACGGTGTACACAATACTAAGTAAGATGGACCAATAGTTTGATGCGGTATAAAACAGTTTCCCCTGCTACTCAATAAAATATAACATCCTCATGGGGTGAAGAGTTCCACATATGGGTTTTGCACCTGCACAGAGAAGGTCCTCTTGTATGTTGCCACCAACCATGCCTCAGAAGGCACATGCAAGAGAGATAATTCTGAAACATTATCTTCTAAAGCACCATTAGGTTAGTCACATAGCTTTTCTAAAGCTCTTAATATCTTCAAGAATCACGCCTCGCCCCCCCCCCCCATATTTGGGCTTTGGCTGTGGTGAGGAGTAGAAGGAGCTGCCAATTTCGATTATCTCAGTTTCTCACTTACCCACTCTTATATTCGGTTGATCACATTTTACAGCAATTTGTGATTTAAAAAAAAAATCTTGAAAATTCATCACTGCAATTCTGCAGTAGAATAAGAGAGCAAGAAGAACAGGTATTTAAAGAGGGGTGGAAATTTTTTGTCGAGTATATTAAAAATAATTGTGTACAGTTAAAAATGCTAGCAGTATTAAAGTACAGTAATTCAACAGTATAACATATTTTGAAGTGATGTAAGATAGGAAAATGAAATTAGATGGATATATTAAAATATGCAGAAAAGGTGGAAAAGTTAAATGAACCTTGGGAAAGGGAGGGAGGGAAGTCAATGAATGCATGGTATAATAAAATATGTTTAATTTAAAATGTAATATTTGAACATTTAATAAATTTAATAAAATTATTATTATTAAAAAAGAAAATGAACTAAAACAAAAAGAAAATTCATCAGTGCAAATTCATTCTAGTGCAAATATCTCCTAATAAACACATTTTTCTATGCAGCTTTGACCATGTTTGCCAGCACTTTCCCCCAATATAATGCATTTTGTATGTTCAGTAATATCTTTGCTTTTATGCAAACTTTCTTCTATTATAATTATTTGTGTAAACATTGTTTGGCTGGAGAACTGAATTACAAAATTCAGATAAGGGCAGCTTTTGAAAGGCCCTGAGATTAAGAGTCTCATGCTCTACAAATTGAGCTATCCCAGTCATCTACAAAGGGTGTTCATCTGCCCTCTTTTACAGAGGGCAGTCGTAGAATTGTAGAGTTGGAAGGGACCACAAAGGTCATTGAGTCCAACCCCCGGCAATGCAGGAATATTTTGTCCAACATGGGGCTTGAATCCATAACGCTGAGATTAAGAGTCTAAGACAGCTGTGTTTCAGTTCACATATTGTTTCAGACAGTGTGAATTACCGGTAAATAAACTTGGCCTTAAATGCATACTGAATTGAATTTCCCCATCCCTAGTTATCATAGGCATATAGAAACCTGCACCACATTCATTGAAATAGGATCATCTGCCTGGCAATATATGGTTGTCATACAGTGGTGTGTGGTGCTCTCTGTCTGTTATGGGCCAAAAGGGCAGAAGTGGGGATGCACTGGAGCAAAGCTGCACTCATAATTGAGGTTTTAGGATTGAGTTTTCATTTCACCATGATGGAATGTGATGCCTTTCAGCGTAGGCATGGGAGTCCTTAACACCAG